CCCCCTGGCCTAGTCGCCCCTCATGGCCCCCTGCTGTCCTGGTTGCCTCATGCAGCCTGCTGTTCAATCATTTGGTCGTCCCTCATTAATCCCCATGGTGGTCTGGTTGCCCCACACAGCCTGCTGTTCAGTTGTTTGGTCATCCCTCACTAACCCCCCTACCAGCCTGGTCGTAGGCAGCCATCTTGTTAGGACATGAGGGTTAATTTGCATATTACCTCTTTATTATATAAGAGGATCATAAATTTCCTACACTATAACTCTTTTTGGGAAAATAGCTATCTATTAGATACAAAACAACCTAAATTTTGAATTTTGTTAATTATTTTCTTGTTTAAGCCTATGTACATTTCAACTTTTCAATAATTTTTTAAAATATGTTTTTTAAATTGATCTTAGGGAGAAAGGAGAGAAACATCAATGTGAGAGAGAAACATCAATTGGCTGCCTGTTGCACACACCCTAGTGGGGATCGAGCTTGCAACCCGGGCATGTGGCCTGACTGGGAATTGACTGTCAACCTTGTGGTCCATGGGGCAACATTCAACCAACTTGAGCCACACCAGCCAGGGCTCAGTAACTTTTAACACTTAAAAGTGCCTCAACTCTTACTTTGTTTGGCTGCTCTCAACTCTATAATATACAATCTAAATGTGTTGGGTTGCAGCTCTCTTCACTCTGCTAAAGCCATGGAAGAGAAGGCATTAGTTTGCCTTTCTGATCCTCTGAAATCCAAATTTTCTTGAATCTTTCCATTTTATAAGGCAGAAATAGAAAGAGAAAAAAAGAGCATTATTCTCTGTCATGAGCAATGAAACATTCCGCAAGGAGTCCCTCACACACTTTTGTGTCTTTCCACAATGCCCGGTTTATGAGGGGAGACCTCAATACGCCAGTGGAGGCACATGCAGGTTCCACACAGAGAGAGGGAGCCTACTCTACAGAAACAGAGTCCCAGTCCCTGGTGGTGTGGTGTTGAAGGTGGAAATGCAGGCGTGGCTGCACTGGCAGCACGCATCTGGTGGAAAAGTCTCCTTGGACTCTGAACGTGACCCGTGGTTCAGCCAAGCTCGAGCTGGGTGGTTGGAGCTCTGAGTTCTTGTAGTCCACGGTGGGCAGCAGTCCCACGCATATCAGTGTCCAGATGGAGTCCTTATCCAAGTGTCCAGACTTCTGGTTTTGGACAATTACATGGCTCCTGTCTTTATATGTAAATATATCTTTATAGTGTTTATTGTTTTCTTATGATTAATTCATAAATGGAATATTGTCTTAAAAGACAAGTTTGAAAGTTTTAGATACTCTTAACAAGACTTTTTCAATGTATGCAATTTCAGAGTAAATTGGACCTGGATTCTCTTGCTATTACTTCTTTTCCTGTTCTCTGTTCCTTGACATTCTTTCCCACCTATGAAAATCTCTATCTTCCTTCCCTAATTCTTTGAAAATTTATTTCTAAAAAGAAGCAAATCAGAATCCCAAAGCAGCCAGCTTGAATCAATATTCCTGTTCCTCTATGAATAGGCAGTTCCTCCAGGCAGTGAATTAGCCCTTTAGAAAACATTGGCATTATGTTTCTCAACCCTGCGTGTCTGTATAGGTGGCCTGGAATATATTAAAGAGAAGCATTGTGTCAGACCCTTAAATCTGAAGATGAAATCTGTTTCTCACTAATTACAAGTAGTTTTTGTTCTGCTGCTGCTGTTGTTTTGTTCTGAGTTAGTGGATTTTTAAAAATTATTGTTTGCTTTCATGAACGTTGGAAATGGACTTGTTCTGGAATATATTATAGTTGGTTCTTGCTTTATGGTATAGAAATGCATCATGTGAGTTTGGTCTTTAAAGGAATCCTATGCTAAATACCTTCTTTGAATATAGAATATCACTCCTTTTCTATTTTTTGTAAACATGGAGTTTCCTATCGATATTACCTTTAGTGAGAGAATTGTTGGTACTTTAAGTTCAAACTGCAGTATGTAGGAGTAATTCATTTTTGCTGATGAACTGGACGGTGTCTTTCCATATATTAATATCTTGTATTTTTGTTGAGTTTGTTACCAAAATAGATCACTAGTTTTGTATAGATCACTAGTTGTCTGGTGGTGCCCCCAACCAGAAGCATCAGAATCACCTTCACCTGGGAGCCTGTTAAAATTGCAAATTAGGTGATACCCCAGACCTAACTATTTAGAAACTGGGACATGGAGCCCAGCAACCTGTTGTTTTTTTTATATATATATTTTATTGATTTTTTACAGAGAGGAGGAGAGAGGGATAGAGAGCTAGAAAAATCGATGAGAGAGAAACATCGACCAGCTGCCCCTTGCATACCTCCTACCGCCCGCAACCAATGTATTAATACATGCCCTTGACTGGAATCGAACCCGGGACCTTTCAGTTCGCAGACCGACGCTCTACCACTGAGCCAAACCAGTTTTGGCGCAACCTGAGTTTTAACAAGCCCTTTGGGTGAGTCTGGTATATGCTAAAGTCTGGGAACTACTGGTTTAGATGATATCTGTACAGCTCTTACCACTGGAGGCCTGGATTTGGTTTAATTCCAAGATACGCATTAGGAACTATACCAATATTGCTTTTAAGAGATGTGTAGATGAAACACTGATAGCAGAGGCCACCTCACATGAGTTGCTTTCATTGTTTCCAGTAGTTGAAGATTTTAAGAACTAAGCAGAGAGCCAAGAATCCTTCACTATTGAGCTGAACCAAATTGTTTAGGTACTTAGGATAATTAGCAAAAGCTTCTCATTTGTTTACATCATTTAGATTGTGTCTCCCTTCATTACCAAGACACTAAAACTGACAAATCATGGAATCACATTCCAAATACATAAGGTTATTCTCAGAGTTAAAGAGTTCCTGAATTAGCTCTCTTTCAAATGCTTTTAAGTTGTAAATAATTACAAGCAGACAAACAATACCTGGAAGACACTTCATTTCATTAATATAATTAAGATACGTATCCATTAATTATTAACTTGTTTTTATATAATAACTCATTTCTAAATGCTTATAACATTTACATATCTGTTTGTTTTAAAACCATTTTTAATGGAAAATTTTTATGATAATATGTATGTGTATATGTGTGTATATTTTTTCATTGGAAAATTCTTTATTCCTGAACTTAAATGTTACCTGCATTTATTATTTCCTGTGGGTCCTTCAGGGTGGAATATTAACTTTTTAAACATGGTGTTATTTTATAAATGAGAACCTTAAAAAAACAAACAAAAAAACAAAAAAAAAACACCTAAATCTCCTTGTTAAATTTAGGGCTTTAGAGCTTATTTTGGCTCTTAAATCTCCCAGCAGACTTTTGTTTGTTAACTTAGGAAGATAATTACTCTCAAGAAGAGGTATAACTGGTTTGGTGGTTGTGTCTTCTTGGCATTACAGATGGGCCTTGTTCGTGCTGTGGGTTAGAATCAGTGAGGAAAGAACCATTAGGGAAGGCTGACAATGTTCCCTTTAAGCATAGCGATAAGTGGAAGATTTCCTAAAACTAGGGTAAAGCTTCTAACTTTTTAAAGATACTGTATATGATTTTTAAGCAAAAAATAGTATCTAACTATTGTTCACCCTCTTCATATAACGAGGTCATATTGTAAAAGGTCAGTTTCTTATAATCATCCACAAGAAATAATTGAGCCAAACACGGTTTGGGGCAGTGGATAGAGCATCGGCTTGCGGACTGAAAGGTCCCAGGTTTGATTCCAGTCAAGTTCATGTACCTTGGTTGCGGGCACATCCCCAGTAGGCAGCTGATTGATGTTTCTCTCTCATTGATGTTTCTAACTATCTCTCTCTTCCTCTCTGTAAAAAAATCAATAAAATATATATATTTTTTAAAAGAAATAATTGAGTCATTAATTATTTTCTAAATGTTTAACACTGGAGAATGAGGGAGGATTAGAACATATTTTAAGATCCAATCAAATAAGTCTATAATTTCTGACTATTTTATAGCAAAATATGTGGTGGAAAATTTAGTATTGGGAATTTCCTTTGAGTATTTATTTAGTCATGGGCCCAAGTGAGATTTTAAAAATTGAGGAAGGAAAGCAGTGTTCTGAAATTAATGAGTCCTTTTTGGGGAGGGCTCAGCCACATATTAGTGAATATTCTATATCTGTGGTCTCTTTCTGCTGGTATTGTTTAATTAATTTTCATATATAACTTACTACTTTCTAAGTTCAGTGCAGTGCTTAAACAAATCACTTTTAAGGTAAGTAAAAGATGCATAAAATTGGCCCTATTTTAATAGATATTTTTATTTTCTAAAAACTTAGAATATAAAGTTTCAATTCCTCTTAAAATATCTTATCTATATATATAAAAGCCTCATATGCAGTGTCTCCTTGGGAGTTCCAACAACCAGGTGTTCGATTGCTCATTATGACATGCACTGACCACCAGGGGGCAGCACGAAATGAAGGAAGGCCCCAGCTGGCAGCAGGGGAAGGGAGGCCCTCGCTGACCCTACCTGTGCATGGTTTTAGTGCAATGGCCTCTAGTTTAAAAATAATAAGTGATCCATTCATTTTTTACTTTGTTAGTGAAATAGGTCAAAGTATTACAGTCTATAAGAAACAATTTAGGGTACTTGAAAAGACTACTCAGAAATGAAAAGAAATTTGAAGAGAATTTACATAGAATAGATTTAGAATTTTCAAATTCAATTTTTAAATAATATACCTTGATTTATTTGGGAAGAGGGAAGGAAACTAAAGACTAGAACAGATTAAAAGCATATTATTCATTTTTCTGCATAGGATAGGAAGAAATATTTTCAGTTTGTCCCAATGGTTCATAGTACTTCATTTTCTTCAAGTTAGAGTGGTTCCCAATGTAGTCTTTGACATTTTGTTTTATTGACTGGAGCTGAAGTCAAATCTTATTTTGTTTTTTGACTCATAAACTTCATATTTAGCAAGTTTATCTTAGCAAGCCATTTTCGTTTGTTTGTTTTACTTCTCTAGTTATCTGAAGGAAACCAGAAGCAAGCAAACCTGCAGAAAAGCATTGAGAAAGCTAAAATTGGCCGACATGAAACGGTAAGTTTGTGTCTGTAGGTTCTTTAATAATACCAATTCTAAATAAAAGAATGGGGTCGTACAGCTTCCTGTGAGGAATATGCCATCCCCATCAGAAGAGAAGTGAGTCACAGCAAAGGACATGAACGTTTGACCTGGTAGGATTCACTAATTGCGAATCTAGATTTATTATTATTTTATTATGTTGTATATGGCAGTAGCATAGCATAGAAGCATAAACTCTGGAGCCAGACTGCCTGGGTTTGAAAGTCCCCTAAACTTTCTGTTCTCAATTTTTTTAGTTATAAAATGGGGAATAATAAAATCTACCTCATTAGGTAATTGTGTGGATTACATTAACATTGGCAAAGCACTTAGAAGAGAAACTGGTGTAAGGTATGCCCTATATAAATGTTTATATATGTTTTTAAGAGTCTTGTTTTTTAAATATTGGCACAGAACAAATGGAAAACTATCAATATAATATTCTTGTGGCCTTTAATATTTCTAAATTATTTAAATGAATATTGACTTACTATTTTATTTTTTAAAGTGCAATGTTCTCTAGAGTATTGTTAGATTGTTTTTAAAAAATTACTTTGCTTTCTAGTTTCATCATTATCTCAGGTATGGATATATGACTTGAAAAAATATTGAAGGTCAACATAAGTCACTAATCATTCCATCTAGTCTTCTATCTATACGACTTGATTGTGATAGAGACTAAAAAACTTGCCGCATTAGAGAGAAGACTACATCTCAGGTTTATAGTGACTTTATCCTTTTCAAAGTTATTTCACAACCTTCTTCCAGAGTCAGCATAGTCACAAACAGGAACTGGACAATGGTAACTTCTAAAGAATATTAAGGGAAGAGAAGTTCAGGGCATAACATGCAGTTGTCATTTCTTTTTTGATTGATAGTATTAATCAAACACTTCTTTGATCATTTTTTTTTCTGCAACATTGGCAATTATTTCTAGAACCACCTTCAATTAATGGTGACACACAAGTTGTTCAACCCGTCTGCTGAATGTTACACAGTCCATTAAAACCAGTGCAACTAGGAAAAAACCAGTAGCAAACCTAGTTGGTGCCTGCACCTATTAGAAGAGTATATTCAGAAAGACTTCTGAGAGGGATGCACTCTTATGTTATGAGGTCACGAGGCAGTACTTTTCAGAAATATGTAGCCCATCTACCAGATGTTATTTATTATACTAGAGGCCTGGTGCACTAATTCATGCATATGTGGGGTCCCTCTGGGTGGCCTGCAAGGATCAGGCAGAAACCCGGAGTCCAACGCTGCCTGTAGCTCCTACCTGCTGCTCCCGCTTATCTCAGCCCCACTGTGTCTGCTGCGGGCTTGTGCCCAATCAGTCTCAATTGGGAGAGGCTTGGCTGCCACAGCAGTGCTTACCATTTATGATCCTGCTTCTGGCACCCTCCCAAAGGGAGTGGCCTGCAGGATTGGGTTGAAACTGGCTCTTTGACATCCCTTGAGGAGTCTTAGATTGTGAAAGGGTGCAGGTCAGACTGAAGGACCCCACTGGTGCACGATCAGGCTAGGGAGGGGCTGTGGGAGGGTTTCAGGGCATGTCTGGCCCATCTTACTCAGTCCCGATTGGCTGTACCCCAACAGTAAACTAACCTACCAGTCGAAGCATCTGCCCCCTGATGGCCAGTGCACACATAGCAATTGGTCAACCAGTTGACTGTCTGCCTCCGGTGGTCAGTGCATGTCATAGCGAGTGGTAGAGCAGCCTTATCATTTTATTAGCATATTAGGCTTTGATTGGTTATTCACTTGTTCTGCCATTCAGACTATTTGCATATTATCCTTTTATTATATAGGATATATGGGACTAGTGGCTCGGTGCACAAAATTTGTGCATGGGGAGATGGTGTCCCTCAGCCCAGCCTGCACCCTTTCCAATCTGGGACCCTTCGGGGGATGTCCAACTGCCAATTTAGACCCAAACCCTGTGGGATCAGGCCTAAACCGGCAGTAGGACATCCCTCTCACAATCTGGGACCACTGGCTCCTAACTGCTCACCTGCCTGCCTACCTGATGGACTATGCTGCTTCAGAGCATGCTGCTCTGTACATCCATTCTCATATACAAATGCTAGCCAAGAGCTTTCTACACTTTGGAACCAAAGAGAACAGAGAGAGGCGAAAGTAGAAAAATACAAATACAGAAACAGAAGCTAGCAAGGAAACTTGAACAGGTTTTATTAGGCAGCGTGAAGTAATTAGTTTTCCTCAGCATATCTTACAATGCTGTACCATAACTTTTGCCATTATTTTATTTTTGTTTGGACTTATTTTTGAGGTTTCATACATATGAATTGACTACAATAGTTCTACATGTTAGTGGAACTATGGCTAGAAATTTCAGATGATGTTTATTGGATCACATTGTGTGTAAAATGTTTATTCTGGTTTAGCTGTAAAGGAAAGTGATGGGAGGCCACAATCTACAATTCTATTCTTTCTTCTATCTTTAAATATTTTTAAAGGTTAATAACTCTAAAAGGTTGAAAAATTGTCTAGAACACTTTTAAGGAAAAATATATAATAATGGATACTATCCTAAATATTACATATATATATATATATATATATATATATATATATATACACACACACAGATATAATCTTGTGAAACTATTCAAGTGGTGGTATAATTTTTTTATCTAACATAAAGGATAATTTGCATATTATCCTTTTATTATATAAGATATATGGGACTAGTGGCTCGGTGCACAAAATTTGTGCAAGGGGAGATGGTGTCCCTCAGCCCGGCCTGCACCCTTTCCAATCTGGGACCCTTCGGGGGATGTCTTTTGAGTTCATACATAATTAGTAACCTCTTATTTATGAGCATTTTGTTCTACATATTCTCATTCAGTCAGTACATATAAAAGATGCTTGAAATGTAAGAGAAAAATGATAATTAGCTTGTTCTTATACTATAAATAAATGTAGGTGTATTTTTAATATTGTCAAAGCTTAATGCACATCAGTTATGAGAAATGAAATGAAAATCTCCGTAAAATGTATAACCTTAGGATATATGACATTTTGTTTGGCTTAATCATACATAAAAATACTTTAAATGCAGGAAGAGCGGACCAAGCTAACAAAAGAGCTTTCTTCACTTCGAGAACAAAGGGAACAGCTAAAGGCAGAAGTAGAAAAGTACAGAGAATGTGATCCTCAAGTTGTGGAAGAAATACGTAAGTTGAGGATTTTAACTTTGCTAATGAAAGAGACTTTATACTTCCGGATGCCTGGTATTCTTTCTCTATGTATATAAGAAAATAAAGCTATTGCCGAAACCGGTTTGGCTCAGTGGATAGAGAGTCGGCCTGCGGACTGAAAGGTCCGGGGTTCGATTCTGGTTGAGGGCATGTACCTTGGTTGCGGGCACATCCTCAGTAGGGGCTATGCAAGAGGCAGCTGATCGATGATTCTCTCTCATCGATGTTAGTGTAATGTAAAGTTAAGTTTAATTTTAGAGATAGGTCCCTGTATTGCACAGCTCAAGAGGTACATTTACATGCAGGTAGTACAAAGCCTAGATAGCGGTATGTATTGGCTTTGTCTCTGCTGAGTATCCACGGTGATTTTCAGAGTGTGGAGGTAGAAAACCCCCCTGAGCTAGTCATTTTCTAAAAATTAAGTTTTTGGAAAGACATGTTAGCTCTTTCAATCCGCCCACAGATTCATTTCATTTATCATCATCCTGCAGAAGAAAGTGCTAATCAAATCTACTGCTACAAAATTAACCACTTTAATCTGTTAATTTTAAGTTTTAACTATTATCACATGATCCTCAGTGAATACAAGCACATCAAAGCAGCAGGAGACAGGTAGGAGATTACTAGGAAGCGAGGCCTGCTCATGTTTTATCTTTAAAAGAAAAGAGGACATAAAATGTTGTGTTTTGCCTAGAGCAGCTTCTCAGGAAAGAGAACTTTCATAACAGTTTCCTTACTCAGATTTCCTACCTTCAGCTGGTTTATTTTCAGGATCATTATGGCTGTGCCTTCTAGCAGTTCATCATGAAAATTATGTTTTCATACAGTAAAACAGTAACCAGATCTGATCATTCATTGATTATGCTTATTTGGCTATGCCTTGCTTTTTGATTTCAGTTTTGGATGTTTTCCTTTACCAACTCTATGCTTTTCTGTCTTATTCTCTGTCTGTCTATCCTAGTTGGTTTGGCTCAGTGGATAGAGTATCAGCTTGCTGACTGATAGGTCCCAGGTTTGATTCTAGTCAAGGCACATGCCCGGGTTGAGGCTCAATCCCTAGTAGGAGGCGAGAAGGAGATAGCTGATCAATGATTCTCTTTTATCATTGATGTTTTTATTTCTCCTTTCTTCTCTGAAATCAATTTAAAAAAGAAAAGAAAAATGGCTGAATCTCAGCAAGAACAGGTGTTTTGTGGTGTTTTAATTTTCTCTATATTCAGGTTTAAAAAATAACAGTCCTGTACCCTGGTATCAGAGAAAGCAAAAAGAAGCTGGATCTCTTTACGTCCCTCATTCCCAAAGAATTGTCATTATGTGATGTCTCTGGAGGTTCCCTGAAAGCCACCAATATGAATGACTGTCTTTATTTGGCCTGGATTGGAGTATGTCAAGTGTTAACAGCCTCTCCCTGGGGATTAATTGTCTAAAATAATAAGGCAAACAGTAGACTAACCAGAAAGCTTAAAAGGAGAAGCTGAAAGATATTTTCGGGCCTTAAAAATCATCATATTCCAGCTGAGACCGGTTCGGCTTAATGGATAGAGCGTCAGCTTGGGGACTGAAGGGTCCCAGGTTCGATTCCAGTCAAGGGCATGTACCTTGGTTGCGGGCATATCCCCAGTAGGGGGTGTGCAAGAGGCAGCTGATCGATGACTCTCATCGATGTTTCTAACTCTCTATCTCTCTCCCTTCTTCTCTGTACAAAATCAATAATATATATATATATATATATATATATATATATATTTTTTTTTTTTTTATTTTTATTTTTTTTTTTTAATCATCATATTCCAGGAAATCTAGAGGCCCACATACATGCATAGACCTGTGCACATTCTCAGGAAAGACCTGAGAAGTTCCTAATCTCCCACCTCCAGTTGACCTTTCGTGGAAGTAGGAAGTGAAAGCCAAGACAGAGTTGTAAATTGAGTGTTTAGACATGCCAGCACACACTGGGATGCAGTGAATGCATTGCTCTGAAAACTTACTAATGTCTTATTTTTTTTCTTTTATTCTCTATTGTTTTCCAAATATTTCTCTTTTTAAAAAAATTAATTAACATTTTAATGCATAGAAGAAACTTTTGAATCAATAACTTAGTCTTCTTTAAGAAACTGAAAAAAGAACACTCTAAACCTAAGGCAAGAAGAAGGAAATATAATGAATAGAGCAGAAATAAAAGTAATAGATAATTGATTCTTTTTTTTTAATATATTTTATTGATTTTACACAGAGCAGAATTGAGAGGGAGAGAATTAGAAACGTCGATGAGAAAGAAACATCGACTAGCTGCCTCTTGCACACCCCCACTGGGGATGTGCCCACAACCAAGGTACGTGCCCTTATCCGGAATCGAACCCGGGACCTTTCAGTCCACAGGCTGACACTATCCGTTAAGCCAAACCGGTTTCCGGCAATAATTGATTCTTTAAGCTGATCAAGAAAATTGACAAACTTTTAGCTAGACTGACTTAAGGAAAAAGGAAGATATAAATTTTTAAAATTAGGAATGAAAGAGGGAACATTAACCTTATAGAAATAAAAAGAAGTATAAGGGAACACTGAGCAGTTATGATCAATAAATTTAATAAGCTACATGGAATTAACAAATTCCTAGAAAGATACAAACGATTAAAATGGTCTCAAGCAGAAATAGACTAAATAGATGTATAACATGTAAAGAGATTGAATTAGAAATAAATAAATAAATAAAACTTCTTACAATGAAAAGCCTAGTCTACACTGCAGAATTCTACCAGTTTAAAGAAGAATCAACTTTTCAAAGAAAAAATTAGAAAAGGAGAGAACACTTTCTAATGCATTCTTTGAGAACAGTATTACTCTGATACCAAAACCAGACAGAGACATCATAAGAAAAGAAAATGTTAGATAGCCAAGACCGGTTTGGCTCAGTGGATAGAGCGTCGGCCTGCGGACTGAAAGGTCCCAGGTTTGATTCCGGTCAAGGACATGTACCTTGGTTGTGGGCACATCCCCAGTGTGTGGTATGCAGGAGGCAGCTGATCAATGATTCTCTCTCATTGATGTTTCTAACTCTCTATACCTCTCTCTTTCTCTCTGTAAAAAATTAATAAAATAATATTAAAAAAAAAGAAAATGTTAGATAAATAACAGAAACCAAGATGGCAGCATAGGTAAACACCTATACTGATGCCTCGCACAACAATTTTAAAACTGCAACTGGAAGACAGAGCGGATATCGTCCAGAACCATCGGAAAGCTGGCTGAGTGGAAATTCTACAGCTAGAAGGAAAGAAAAAAGGACACTGAGACCCAGAGGAGTTGTGGAGGACAATGGTGCGGAGAACTGAGCTGAGTAGTCGGTTGGCTTACTCGCAGCATGTGGAGAGGGTGGGCAGCAAGCACACTATTAGTTTTCTTGTTCAGGAGGGAAACAAAACCTCCCGACTGCACTGAAATCTAGTTCTGGGTGAGACTTTGGATACCCAGACTCATTTGGGGAGATATTGTACTGTTTGGCAGCGGGCAAAACTCAAGAACAGCCTTCTCTCAGAGGTGCATGCAGCCATTGTCAAGGGACACTGAGAAACAGGGGCCTCTTGGCTGATGGGAAACCAAGGCTTTCTGCTCCACCCTGAGACTCTGCCTCATCCAAGCTGAACACAGAAGCTCTCCCAACATAGACACAGCTGATTCTCACAGACAATTGGCCTAGAGGTCAACTCCCCACAGTGATACTAACAACTATCTAGGCTTAACTATAATAAGACTGCACACACAGCCCACAAAGGGCTTCACCAAGAGTGTCCACCTCAGGTAACTGGGGAGGCTGAGCCACTGGGCCCTTCTAGGACACCTAGCACACGAAGCCACTCTACCAACTCAGGGAAGCAGCTAAAATGCAGAGACAAAGAGGGAGGTCATAAATGAAGGAAATGGAGGAAAGCAAACGACTGGATATAGAGTCCAAAACCACGGTTTCAAGAATTTCCTAGAAAAGGCCGATAAATTTAATGAGACCCTTGAGGATGTGAAAAAGGATCAACTAGAAATTCAGCATACTCTGAAATAAAAAATATTACACAGAGACCTAAAAGCAGATCAGAAGATCACAAGAATCGGGTCAAAGATTTGGAATTCAAAGAAGCAAAAAACACCCACTGGAAAAGCAAAAGAAAAAATCTAAAAATGTGAAGATAGTAGAGGGGGCCTCTGGGACAACTTCAAGCATACCAACATCAGAATTATGGAGGTCCCAGAAGAAGAGAAAGAGCAACATACTAAAAACCTATTTGAAGAAATAGTGACCAAAAACTTATGCCACCTGGTGAAAGAAGTAGACTTACAAGTCCAGGAAGTGCACAGAATCCCAAATAAAAGGAATCCAAAGAGGATGACATCAAGATACATCATAACTAAAATACCAAGAAATTTTTTTAGGTCAGGTTTATTGTGATCTGTGATTATACACACACACACACACACACACACACACACACACACACACACAGTACCCTAAAATTCTTACCAATTAAACTCATTATTGACCTTCTTTTGGTGTTGTAAATTTTTTGAGAAACACATCTCAGTTGAACTTACATATTGTCTATAAAGGCACAAGTATAATAATGACACTTAAGAAAGGGAAACTACTCACCTTGACTTTCTATTGATAATGTAACTGCAAGTAGGTTTGTGAGATACAGTATGTCACTATTTGACCTTTTTTTTATAGCCACTTTAATTGTATAAACTTTTGTTCATATAAGAAAAAGAATATCTAGAAAAAAGAAGACTATTTAGTGTGTTTGTATGTGTGTGTATTTATTTATTTTTTTCTGTTGTTTTCCAGGTCAAGCAAATAAAATAGCCAAAGAGGCTGCTAACAGATGGACTGGTATGTATTATAATGGTACTGCTAAACTATAGTCAAACTTCTTCCACATTTACTATGATGTGAAATACAGAAGCTATTGTGTGTCTAGTTTTGTTCAATGAAAGATGTTTTTGGAAATGCATGCATTAAGCAGGTTTTTATATATTAAATCATTTTAGTTATTCAAGTTTTTTAAAAATCTTTTTATGAGTCATTTTGTCAAGTATAAGATATTTTTTAAAAATCGAAGATTACTTCCAGTGTAACTTGTGTGTGATTTTTCTCAGATAAGTCACTTAGGCTAACCTTCAAACAATATTAAGAGTTTTGTGGAATCCTAAAGATTTGTCTTCTTGCTAATAATAATAACAGCTAACATTTGGTGAGTTCTGATTTTAAGCCAGGCATTATAAAGAGTGTCTATGGCACATTCTCATTTTATCTCTACAACAATCATGTGAGGTAGATAGGATTATTATCCCTAATTTTGGAGATGAAACAGAGACCACCAGGAGTCCATGGCCACACAGGTGCTAGGCAGTAGAACAGGAATCAGAATCCAACTTTTCTGAATTCAGAGTTCAGGCTCTTATTCCCTATGTGATAGTGTCTTCTCTATATCCCCACCTTCCTGTAAATGCCTCATTAACCCATTTGCCAGTGGATATATCCTCTGGTCTACACAGGAGATATTCTAAGAAATGGGAACTATTAAGGCATTATCTGTGTGTCTTAAAGTTTAGAAGAAAGTTTAAAAATTATAATTGCTGTGAATTATATACAAGTATGATTAGTATTGTTAAAACTTGTCTGAAAATTGCACTGATGTTTTTTCAGTATTTAATTTTAAATTAATGGTAAGTGAACTCTTCCATCCTGGTAAGAGTTTAGAATGCCTTCACATGTATTACTCAGCCTCATTTTGTTTCTGTGGGGGAGGATGGATAAGATGGTGTTAATGCAGAGATCAAAGAGCTTAAAATCAAAGATGATTAAATCAGTTGCTGGAAGAAAGAGATTTGAGCCAAGTTTCCTCGATTCTGTGTCCAGGCCTCTATATTTCTTAAGAAGTTATAGAATCATTTTTTCTTGTCTATTTTAGAATTGAGAAGGTTGATAAAGTCAATGTAATTGGCCTTTGGTTCCTATGGAATTCCAATCTTATTTACTATGAAGCTATTTCATAAATAATGTAATGCTTTTGTGATAAAAACAGAAGGGTAAAACAGCAAACTAATATTAAAGAAAAGAGAATAATGAGCCCTGGCCCATGTAGCACAGTTGGTTGGGCATTGTCCCATGCACCAAAAGGTGTGGGGTTCGATTCCCACCCAGTTAGGAGCCTGGGTTGCAAGCTCGATCCCTGGAAGGGGGCGTGCAGGAAGCAGCTGATCAATGTTTCTTGCTCTCTTAAAAAAATATATATATATTTTAAAGAGAATAATGAATTATGTGTTCAATAAAGTATTGAGAAATAATAATAATAAATACAGTATTATCATATGGATTAGTGAAATATAAAACTTTGAGTGAGAAAAACTAGTAAGTGGATTTTTAGGTTAAAAATAAAACCCTAGTTGGTTGGGCTCAGTGGATAGAGTATCAGCCTATGGACTGAAGGGTTCCAGGTTTGATTCCATTCAAAGGCACATGCCCAGGTTGGGGGCTTGATCCCCAGTAAGTGGTGTGCAGGCAGCAGCTGATCAATGTTTTTCTCTCTCCCCTTTCTCTCTGAAAGCAATAAAAATATATTTTAAAAATATAAGATAAGAGTCACAAAGTGATTTCCCCCAATAGCTCTCAGCAAACAGTAGGAACAGGCAGCTTGTGTAAAGGGTAAGAGAACTTGACTCAAAGGAAACCAAGTGTGTTCTTTATTGTCTCTGTGACTTAATTGAACTTCTCGGACCTGCTTCCTTTCCATGTGGACAGTATCTACCTCACATTTTGGAAGGATTAATTAAGATAGTTGGTAACCCATTTAGTACATTAGACACATGGATTAATACTCCCCTTTTTCCTTTCGCCCCTTAAAAAAGGCTTTTATGTTTTACCGTTGATCATAAGCTTCCAAAATTATAATTACACATTTTATTCTACAGCTCTTTCCCCTATGTCCTTAGCTGAGAAAGAACCTGGTACTTTTAAAATCATGTAGGAAGGAAGATATTTTTACAGCAGCAGGAACAGCTGATAAGAACCCTATTTCCACTTGAGGTTATAACTTGCTCCTTCCAACATAGAAGTGTTATAAAAAGATCATAGAGTTACAACAATTACTCTTCTGAAAACCTCTCAGTCTTCAAAACCAGAAGAAAATATCAGTAATACTTATAACTAATGAGTGTTATGTAATTATTAGTTAACTAGAGGCCATTAGTTAACTAGTGGGGGTAGGGGGGAACCTCAGCCAGCCATGCACCCTCTTGCAATCCAGGAACCCTCGGGGGATGTTTGACTCATTGGTATTGGGCCTAAACTGGCAGTCAGACATCCCTCTTGCAATCTGAGACCACTGGCAGATAAGCATATAGGAATATGCCTATCTGCCTGCCTGATCACCCATAACCACTTTTCCTCATCATTTCTAACCACTTCTGCCTGCCTGCCTGATTGCCCCTAACCACTCTGCCTGCCTGCCTGATCACCCCTAACCACTCTGCCTACCTGATGCCCCTAACTGCTTTCCTGATCACCCCTAACTGCCTCTGCCTCGGCCCCCACTGCTGAGGCTTCATCCAGAAGGATATATGGCTGTCCAGTCTAATTAGCATATTACACTTTTATTGTTATAGATATTTGGTTTCTTTTTACTTAAAATTAAGTCCCTTCCCTAACCGGTTTGGCTCAGTGGATAGAGCATCAGCCTATGGACTCAAGGGTCCCAGGTTCGATTCTGGTCAAGGGCATGTACCTTGGTTGTGGGCACATCCCCAGTAGGGAGTGTGCAAGAGGCAGCTGATCGATGTTTCTAACTCTCTATCCTTCTCCCTTCCTCTCTGTAAAAAAAAAAAAAAAAAAAAAAAAAAAAAAAAAATCAATAAAATATATATTAAAAAAATAAAATAAATAAAAATATAAAAAGTTCCTGAAATATACAGGTTGGGACAAAACTGAGTTAACCATTGTGAAGATGTCAAACAGAGTGTATTCGTGTATTAGTATTTATTATTGTATTGATTTCTATATGAACAATTATAAACCTACCTTTGCCCCACCCTGTATATAGAATTGAGAATATTTACTGTTCAGTAATTCAGTATTTCAGTTTTATAGAATGAGAGATTGCTTCAGGGTACAAATATAACTAGAAATATCACATTGAAATGTTTTGTGGCACTAAATATACTTCAATGCAATTTAATAAGTTATATCATTTAACAGCTCATTTAATAAGTCAGATAGTGGAGTTTTTTGTTTGTGTTTTTTTAAAAATATATTTTATTGATTTTTTACAGAGGAAGAGAGAGGGATAGAGAGTTAGAAACATCGATGAGAGAGAATCATTGATCAGCTGCCTCTTGCACACCCCCTACTGGGGATGTGCCCGCAACCAAGGTAGATGCCCTAGACCGGAATCGAACCCGGGACCTTTCAATCCGCAGTCCTTCGCTCTATCCATTGTGCCAAACCGGTTTCGGCAGATAGTGGAGTTTTGATGACTTAGGCATCTTAATGAACAAGGGGGGATAAATGTGGTGCATATGACATTGCCTATCCTATTCCTGTGTCTATCTTGGATGATTTCTACCAGTCTTAATAAAGTTGTTTCTTTAAAAAAAAAAACACTTTTTTGTTTTGTTTTGTTTTGTTTTTGCTATTTATAAAAATTTCCACATAATAGGGGAATTATTTGACAGGGAATGAACTATCAGGGTGGTAGTTAACATTGTCTTGAAGGCAGCTTGAGAACTTGTTTAATGAAGTCTTTTTTTTAAAATATATTTTATTGATTTTTCACAGAGAGGAAGGGAGAGGGATAGAGAGTTAGAAACATCAATGAGAGAGAAACATCCATCAGCTGCCTCTTGCACACCCGTATGGGGATGTGCCTGCAATCATGGAGCCTTTTGAATTGGTCCATTAGGCATTGTTGTGGAGAAGCTTTTATTTGTTCTTTTGTTTGTTTTTAATCTTAGAGAGTTTGTAATAAAATGATTTCTTGCCCTCAGGGGAATCAGGAACTCCTTTTGCAGAGGCTATAGCCTTCCTGTGGTGTTTCATTTTCTTCTCTCTGACCTAGAGTTGAAGTTCATTTCTCCAGACTTCCTGCTTCTAAACCTGCATGTGTTCTCTCATTTCATGGAAGTCATTCTGTGCTGTGGGAGCCCTATTCTGAACGCGGTCCACATAACACTTGATCTTTTCTAACATACATTCCACTTTGAAATTGTTCAGTAGTAAATTGATTTTTCTCTCTATTCTCGTGTCAGCTTAAAGGCATAGGTTCTTTATGTTCTGGAATTTCTGTAATAAGCTTAATGCCTGTCTCATGTAGCAGCAGGCCCTCTGTAAGTATTTGGCTATGCAGACAGTTTTGAAACCAAACATCATTCTGGAGTATTAGTATTTCGTATTCTCTCTAAAGTCCTTATTAAAAGTAAAATTTGTTTTAGATTTTTTTAAAGTAAAAATTTATTTAATATCTGTTGATATTCTATAACACTTTAATTGAAAGAAAGGAGGATATTTTTAAACATTATTCTATTTGATGTGATAGTATTCACCTTAGAAATGAACTTTATTTTAAACATTAAGTTAATCTTATTTGATACCTAGAATTAAACTTCTTTCGTTTTTGTTTTATAAATTTTTATTTTGTTAAGTATGCCCAAATATTCCAAGCATAGTAAATAATGTGTTTTAAACTGATCAAGTAGCATTTATAGTAGAGGAAGCATTGTTATTTCTTTGGAGATATGCTATGACTGCATGGGAAACTGTCATCTGTCTTGTCATTATAATATATGAGAGGCCCAGGGCACGAATTCGTGTACAGATGGTGTTCAGCCAGCCCGCCCCAATGGGGGTCTAATGGGGCCAGGCCGACTTGGGGGAAGATAGCAGAAGGTTGGCTGGCCAACCTCACCCCCAATTGGGCAAGGGGACAGCTGGGGTGGGGCCAGTGGGGAGGAGGAGCTGTGGGAGGTTGTGGGGGCTGATCAGAGGAGGGGCTGCAGATACTTCTGTAAGTAAAAACAATGGGTAGAATTATATTTGAAATGTTTTATGATGGTGTTTGAATTCTCAAAAAAACATTTCTTATTTTCTTTATAGATAACATATTTTCAATAAAATCTTGGGCCAAAAGAAAATTTGGATTTGAAGAAAATAAAATTGATAAAAATTTTGGAATTCCAGAAGACTTTGACTACATAGACTAAAATGTCCAATGTTGGTAAAGGATCTATGTGCTTGTGAATATGTAAATTATTTATGTTATCCAACCAGTTGTACAGAATTGTCATTTACCAGTAATTGTGATGATCATTCTGGTCATTTTAAATAAAGTATAAGGTGTAGATGTTTTTTACATTTTTTGTTTGATGGAAAACAGGATGGCAGCCATATCCCCATGGTGCTCATCAAAGTAGGCCTTCTCCTTAAGTTAGGTTTACAGAGAATTTTTTTGAGGTCAGAAGCCATTATGACTTGATAACATTTTATATTTCCATTAAACTATTAAATATTAAGAACCAAGGGTGCTTTTGAAGGCTCTATTATACACATGCACTCACACACAAACGCTTGGAAATAACTATAAAACTCTAGTCGCTGCTTTAGTATTTCTCAGCATTTAGTGGTAAATGTGTGTGATGAATTCTCAATATACTGTATTATATTTGCAAATTCCCATGGGGAGAAAATACAGAAAGTTGCTCTTCCTTAAATTTAGAGTTACGTAGCAATTTCTCAGATATGAAAACTCCTTTCTTTTGAATTTTTGGTGCCTTTCCGTTGTAAAGAACAAGTACGGGGCCCTTTGTCCTGATTTCTGCACATTTTATAAGATGATATAGTGGTGGTAGTATACCACACATCACCAACTAAAGTTTAGTGATATTATATTTTCCAACTACCTAAGAAGTAGGTGAAAAATCACTTATGTCTTGAGTATATATCTTTTTCCAGTTCAGTTTAGGCATTTAGAGAATTTGCAGGCACTCCAAGACAAACAAACAAAAACAAAAACTCATGTAGCCTTAGTTTTTTTTTCACACTGTTCCAATTTTTATATTCTTTTAAGTAACTTGAATGAGATACTCCATATGTCTGAAATGACCCAAATGGCATTGAAGCCATTTGTAGTGCATCTGGCCTTTGTATTGCATGCAGTGGCTCAGGGCCTACTTAATCTTTTCCTGGAGGCGACGGACGGGGAGCCAATTGGTCCATTTTTGTTCTTGAGGTCAGTTTATGTTGTCTCAGGGCAACAGCTCTTACAGGAGAAAGTATTTGATGTAAGGGACAAAGGACAAAAAATAAAAATAACATATCATCGCCTTAACTGGTTTGGCTCAGTGGATAGAGCATCAGCCTGTGGACTGAAGATCCCAGGTTTGATTCTGGTCAAGGGCATGTACCTTGGTTGTGGACACATTTTCAGTAGGAGGTGTGCAGGAGGCAGCCGATCGATATTTCTCTCATTGATGTTTCTAACTCTCTATTCCTTTCCCTTCCTCTCTGTAAAAAAAAAAATCAATGAAAAATATTTTTAAAAAGAACCTATCGTATGCCTCCCCATAAAACATTAATTGTGGGAATTTAAAGATTTCTCAGACCCAGTTTGCTTGCTATTTATTAGAAAACTAGAGGCCCAGCGCACAAATTCATGCACCAGTGGGCCCCTCGGCCTGGCCTTTGGTACTGGGCTGTAACCAGCTCTCTGACATCCCTGAGAGGTCCTGGGTTGTGAGAGGGTGCAGGCCAGGCCGAGGGATCCCACCCGTGCATGATCGGAATGGGCATACATATGGGAGGTTGGCCCGTCAGGAAGGGACTGCGGGAGGGCTCCAGGGCATGTCTAGCCCATCTTGTTAAGTCCAGATAGGCCAGACTCAGCAGCAAGCTAACCTACAGGTCTGAGCGTCTGTCTCCTGGTGGTCAGTGCACGTCACAGCAACTGGTCGACCAGTCAACTATCTGCCTCTGGTGGTCAGTGTACATCATAGCAGCCTTAGCTTATCATTAGCATATTATGCTTTGATTGGTTGAATGATCAACTGGTTAACCTGACACTTAGCATATTAGGCTTTTATTATATAGGATATGTTCTCTTGTTTAGAGAGAAGATATGTGTGTTCAAAGGAAACCATTTGTAATGATTCCTAAAAGGTTCTATTTTATAACTGTTAGGCAACATTTATTTTTAACTGAGTCTGTGTTATGGGGCAAGCATGAATGATGAGATGAGGTCTGTACATGAGCTAACAAAAGGCTGTGGTACCCTCCTAAGCCAGTAGTGTTCTGGGAAATGTTTAAATTACTCCTTAAAAAGTTGGGACAGGGCCTTATTTATAGTAGTTTCTGCCTATTTATGTGGTATAAATACTCCCAATATAGCCAACTTCCAATTATCAATGTGATGACAGTACAGAGTGGGTAAAAGATGCTCAGCAGCACACCATTATATACATTTTTTTTTCTGCCATGCACATACATTAGATATACATAATCTCAAGAGCATAGGTAATGGTAAAATGTAAAATAGAGAGTGGTACATTTTTAGTTTTAGTTCCATTGTTTTTAATATAATATAATTCATCTTACTTTCTGTAATTTAATATTTTTAAATGTAATTTAATCTTTATTAATGGCTGTTTAACAGCTGGCTTACTTAACAGTTAGTTGGCTGGCTTACTCCTGCACATCATTCTTAATCTTTCAGAGTTGCTTTTGAGTTTGCTCTTCCCTGAAATTAGAGATACTATTCAAGAAGACTGGGGGCATTAGTCCAGCCAAGTACTGGATAATACTTAGTCCTGGGTTAGTTTTGTTATTGATCTGAAGATTGAGTACAGCTTGGGTGGACGCAGAGTCAAATTACTAGTGATCCAGTATAAAATTTGATTCAGTAAGTAATGCCATGATTGATACTCCTCATATCTTTTTAGTGAATTGTGAAGTTTAAAAGATATCAAATTCACATGTAGTTATTTTTAAATCTCACAATTCTATTTTTAAATGATTCTAGGAAAGATTTTATAGTCTTCTAGTTAGTTTCACAGTTGTTCGCGGCCAGATCAGATCACTGAAATGTCCCTTCTGAAGTTGGGCCAGGCCCAAAGCAATGCATAAGGAAGAATTGGAATGACTTTTCCCTCTGCCTTCTGCCACATCATTAACCTAATGGGATTACAAAGTTCTTGGCCTGTTTCAGAAATAGATGCTATTATCCTTTACTTTATCCAACATGATTCTCTTTAAGGGATTAGAAAAGGAAATGAGTATATCTGGCAGCTAAGAAGCCAGAATCACCCTAATCTTGAACAGAAAAGTCTAAGTTGTAAAGCTGATAATGCTGTCTTTTGAAAATATGATTGAAGTAGTTTAGAAAACAGTTTTCAGCTAATATGGCATCATTTGGTAAGAGTGGTTACAGACAGTGGGGACAATTATTTCTAAACTCCCTTTCAGGATATGTTTCCTGAATATATAACAGGAGGAAAAGTTAGTGCATTATGAAATACAAACTACTTCAGCTTGGTTTTTAAAAAGTGATTGTGAGAGAGAGAGGTCAGGTAATATGATTGTCTTTGGAAATACTCATTGAATCTCAAGGCGAATTTCTATTTGCCAAGATTGCCAGCTGCCATCTTGACAGCCAAATTCAAGACCTGATCTCACAGTCCTTGAGCTAAGAATGTCTTTTTACTTTTCTAAATGATGTAAAAATAAACAGGAATATTGCAACACAGGATGAATATTGCAACAAAGCCTAAAATATTACTGTCTGACCCTTTACAGAAGAAGTTTATCAGACTCCAAAATTTCAAAACCTGACAACCTTTGGGCTAGATAGGACCTACAAGAGGCATGTTATTCTGCCTTAACTATCTTTTTTAAAAACTGTGTTGCAACATATCCACATGTTAAATGTCAGACAAATTCAGATTTTCAGCTTCTTTGGGAACTGGATGATTTAGCTACCCAAAGGCCTCATTCTACATGCAGCAAATTAACTAGACGTGAGTAGGGCTGGAGCAATAGTAATGGATTCATTTCTTACAGCAATGCCAGCATTTAGCTTTCTTTTTTAAGTCCCAGTTTCATTCCAAGTTGACAGACTGATTTAAAATCAAACTTGACTTTTCATATTTCAGGGGGGAAAAAACACTGATGCTGTCTTTTAAATTGAGATTATATTAAATTTCTTAATTAACATAGGGAGAACTGATAGTTGGATGATAAAATAGCCTATTCAAGAACAAGGAATGTCATTGCTCAAGCATATTCTTCATTTTTTCCAATAGTTTTATAGTTTACTTCTCAGAGATTTCACACTTCTTAAGTATATTCTTAAATATTTTATCTTTTTTGTTGCCATTATAAATGGATTTTTCTCTTTCATTTTACTTTCTAATTGGTTATAACATGTATCTGAAGGCTGTTGGTTTTGCATATTAATTTTAAATCCTGCTTTCTTGCTAACTTGTTTTAGTTTTAGTTTGTTTTATAATTTATTCTCTGAGGGTTCTCAGGTATCCTATCTTCAAATACATAGCTTAAATTTCTCTTTTCTAATTCTTAGACTCATAATTGTTTTTTATCTAATTGCATTGGCTAATGCTACTCATAAAATTGTAGTAGACATAGAGAACATCTCTGCCTTGTCTCTGACCTTAGTAGGAATGCTCTTAATATTTCTGCATTAAGTAAAATCCTGGATTTTTATAATGTGTAATTTATAATGTTAAGGAAGTAGTCATCCAGTCCGATTTTCTCAAGTATTTATATAAGGATGGTTGGATTCTTCATAGGCTTTTTCAACCATCTCTGGAGATAAGCTTATGATCTTTATTCTTAAATCTATTAACAAGGTGAATGTTATTAACATATTTCCTAACACTCAGCCATCCATAAATTTCAGACATTAAACCTACTTATGGTGAGTTATTTTCTCAATGTGATGTTAGGGTCTATTTGCTGACATTTTATTTATAAGTTTTGCATCAATATTCATAAGTGCTGATTGCCTATAATTTTCTGAAATATATTTTTATTGATTTCAGAGAGGAAGGGAGAGGGAGAGAGAGATAGAAACATCAATGATTCAGGCCAAACCAGCTAGGGCTATAATTTTTTCTTAATGCACTATATTTACAGATTTGGATATCAGTATTATACTTTCTTCTTTAAAAAGATATGAAAGTTTTTCTTCCTT